GGCTTGGATCATGAGCCCACCCATTTTTCATGGGAACCTTGGCTCCTTGATTGACATCCCTCTGGTAGGAGAAAAAGAAAGAAAACCTCCCCAATGAAAATGTAAATATTACCACAGGAAATGTGAAGGGATTCTGGATACCTAAAAACAAATGTCGACAAACACTTGACAAATGATGGTTGATCACTTAAAATGGTTGTGAAAACTTTCTCTTGTCCACAGTTTCATGGGCCTTCCATGGGTTGATAACCCCCTAAAAATATACGCAAAATTTTGTCTATATGCAACTTTGTCCAGGGAGGGGTCCAGCCTTAATAATCCTTACAAAGGATTCCAGAGGTATGAGGATATCAGTACTTGGGGAAAAAAAATGCTTCTGCTTTCTATCTCAACCACCTGTTTACTTCTCCTAATTTAACAGAGCTCAAATATAAATGCAATGCCATATGAGGCAATGTTACAGGGTAGAAAGTGTAAGGGTATGGAATCAGCTTTTATTTGATTTCTACTTAGCTTTATTTGATTTCTACTTAGTCTATTTATGCTATGATAAAATACTTGAGACTCTGAGACCAAGTAACTTACAAACAGTATAAATTTATTTCTCATAGCTTTAGAGGCAAGGAGGTCCAAGATCAAACTGCCAGCCAATTTTTTGGTGTCTGATGAGGACTGCTCTCTACTTCCAAGATGGCACTTTGAACATTGTGTCTTGACATGGCAGAAGGGGAAAGGGCAAAAGGACCTAGATAGTTCCCTCAAGGCCTTTCATGTGGCTACCAATTCCATTCATTAGGACAGAGTCCTCATAATTTGGTCACCCTCAAAAACCCACCTCTCAATACTATTGCATTGGATATTAGGTTCCAATATAAATTTATTTATAGGTATAAATTTATAGGTATAAATTTTGGGGTAACACATATATTCAAACCATAGCAGTTCTCCTCATTAATCTATCTTTATCTCAGTTTAATCATGTGTTAAACATGAATCATATTTCTTTCACAGATAAAAATAGTTTAGCACAGTGCTTGTATGTAGTGGGTTTTTTAGTACAGTTATGTAAGAACTGCTTAAACATCAGGGCTAGTATATAAGTGGTTCCTCCCACTTGTAATGATATCATATTTGGAGTAGTATCTTAGTCTGTTTTGTTTTGCTATAACAGAATATCACAGAGCAGGTAATTGTTAAAGAAAAGAAATTTATTTCTCACAGTTTTGTAGACTGAGAAATCCCAGAGCATGGTGCTGGCATCTGGCATGGGCCTTCTTGCTGCCATATCCCATAGCAGAAGGGCAGAAGAGCACAAAAGCATGTGAGACAGAGAGAATGGGGCCAAACTTCCTTCTTTTATCAAGAACTGACTCCAGTGATAGATAACTAGCCACTCCCATGATAATGGCATTAATCCATTCATGAGGGCCATTAATCACCTCTTGAAGATGCCTCTTCTTAATGCCATCACAATGGCAATTATATATCAACATGAGTTTTGGAGGGGACATTCAAACCATAGTAAGTAAGCCATATTGTTTAGCAGTGAGGAATACAGACATACCATATTCTTCTAGAGAGGTTGCTTGGACCCTCCCTCTGACAGCATTCCCTGTCTGCAAAAGCCATGAGAATATTTTGAGATCATCAGCTGCTTTTCATGCTGCCTGCTTTCCGAAGCTGGTTCTCCAGCCATCTCCTGTGTTCACTTCTTAAGCCAGCTGGGAGACTTTCCTAAAGAGGTCTGTGCTACCTTGAGCTCTAGTGATTCCTAGGTGACCCTCTCATCCTTAGAACACATTGAACAAAGGGCTCATCCCCCAATGGTGAATTTTTAAAAGAGAACCCCTCACTTTCCCATTTGTCCCAGTTAAAAAAAGAATCAGCTTATTAACTAGCACTTACAGTTAAATCAGGTGCTGAAGTTTACTTTCATGACTACCCAGGATAATTGGGTAAAGATAGAACATAATGAGAGCATATTAGACTGTTAGAAAATATAAAGTATTGTACATCCATCTTCCTGTTTTTGAAGACTAATTTTTTGGACTTGATTTATGTAAAAAAAAAAAAAAAACAACAGGTTAGTGGTTGAAAATTATATCTTTCTTGGGACTAATTGTCATTATATACTTTGTGACAAAGTTGGCAGTTTGTAATTTTTTTAACATTGTGGCACAATCATATTTGTGCATGGTGTTTTCTGAATAAATCTGATTTTTTCTTAATAAGGACATTAATGTATCCTTTCATTGATTCTTCCAGTAAACTTTTATATATAGCCTGTTTTATTTTAAGCACTAGGACATATTTAAAATGTATGTAATTTACTAAACAAATAGAAGTTAATCTGTAAGATGAGAGTTAAACTTAATGTTTAAATATTTTTAAATGTCTCCCTTCACTTCTAAGTAGATCAAATAATAGAAGAAAATGCATAGAATTTTTAATGTTTTGGTACCTTCGTCTTAGCATATATGTTAAGTCATGGATATTTTCTTAGCTGAATGTCAGCATATAGTACTTGAATTTTTAAAAATTCATAATAAATTTAAAATAAAATCTCATTATGTATCAATTTTAATGTAATACTATTTTGTGCCCCAAAAAACCGCTTTAAGGATATAATTTAAAAATGATATTTCCAGGAGCTATTTCATTCTTTTTGTCATTCCTTTGAGGTAATCCATTTCTGTGTTAACTAATATGAATGGAATGTCTCTGAAGTTTCTCATGCACTCCAAATCCTTATCTTTTGTTATTTCTGAATTAATTGGGTTTACATTCTTCATTTTTCCATATCCATTCATTATTTAATTCAACACATTTTTATTGAATACCCTGCACATAATAATTTGATGCACTGCTTCATAAGAAAATGTTGTTTTCAATAAAGCATTCCTTTGAAAATTATTTTCCCATGATATATTGTTAGCACTTCTGTTAGCAAGCAAAGTGAGGAAGTAGAGGAATGAAATACTAGATTTTAATGAATGCCGCACACACAAAAACAGATATTGTAAGAAGTGCTTGATGACAAGGTACGTTCTCTCTGAGGAGTGATATTTCAGCTGAGTTTTCAAAACTGAGATGTGTCAGCTGTGGTAGCTGGGAAGGAGTGTTTCAGGCAAGAAGATCATCAAATACCTCAGTTCTGGGTAAGAAAGAGCCAAGTGTGTTTGAAGGATGCAAAGGAAATCAGTGTGGACAAAGCCAAAAGATTATGTAGGACACAACAGACCTGGTTAAGAAGTTTACATTTATGCTAAATACGTTGGGAAAACAAAGGTTTTTAGAAAGCTGAGGGGTAACATAATATGATTTAAGTTAAAGGCATGAATCTGGCAGCTTTTTGAATAATAGATCATATATGGGCAAGAGTGGGAGTGAGGGAATTAATTATTTGGTGATTGCAGTTCCATAAGAGAGAGAAGAACATTTACATAGTTATTCTTATGTGGTGATCTGCCCTTTCTAAAGGATATGCCATATGTTCAAATGCCAGAGATTATATATGCAATATCACCTGATCTTATGAACACATGGTGATAGATCTGGCTTTGAACTAGTGGCAGGATGCAGGACAAACACCCAATCTCCTGATTTTTTTTTTTTTTTGAGACAGAGTCTCACTGTGTTGCTTGGGCTAGAGTGCCCTGGCATCAGCTTAGCTCACAACAACCTCAAACTCCTGGGCTCAAGCAATCCTTCTGCCTCAGCCTCCCAAGTAGCTGGGACTACAGGCATGCACTGCCATGCCCAGCTAATTTTTTCTATATATTTTTAGGTGGTCAATTAATTTCTTTCTATTTTCAGTAGAGACAGGGTCTGGCTCTTGTTCAGGCTGGTTTGGAACTCCTGACAATTGAGCAATCTGCCCACCTCAGCTTCCCAGAGTGCTAGGATTTCAGGCGTGAGCCGCCATACCTGGCCCTGTTTTTTTTTTTTTTTAATTTAATGATTGATTATTGGTCTGTGTGACACATTGGCCTCATAATTTCAACATGTTAAGTTTTATATGATTCAAATCTTGCTGTGTATTAAGTACTTTGGACATCGATTTCTCCTAGAACAAATATGGACTAATATCCAAGTTGATAATTTAATAAAATTTGCCATGAAATAAGATATGACATTAATATGATGTAAAATATTTTTAAATTTATATGGCAAATATAGTTTAAAACACCTTTTTAAAACATCTGTAATGCTATTTTCTACTCTACATATTATTTAGATCACTTGTTCTATTATATAACTATCTGAGAATCTGTTTCTTAGTTGAAATAATCATGTCTATAAAGTTAAGCTGAAAATTTGTAAGAATTTATTGCTTTCTGAATAATTTTTTGCAGATTAACTAAATTTGGACTATAAATGTTAAATAATGGCCATTAAAATTATGGCAATGAGATAAATTTAAGTCTAAGTGCTCATGATAGCATTAAAAATTTATTGAGTCCAGCATAATAATCTGTTTTAAAATTGCAAATGTGCTATCACTATAAGGTTAAATGATTGTGCTCATAATTATTCCTTAATCTTCAATCTCTTCAGTTACATTACTTGTATACTTTAAAAATACAGACCAATAATAATTTTATTATATTTCACAAATTAATTTAAAAATAATTTCTGAATTAAGAACATGTATATACATATATATATGGGTGTGTATGTATATGAATATCTATGTCTCATTGATTTAGGTACATTTCCAACTATATACATTTTCCAACTAAAAATATTTTTTTTGGTGAATTCACAGTGCTTTAACCTCTTCTTAGGAGACATATTATGAATTCTTATAAATATTATTCAAAATGCTGGCCTAAATTTTAAAAATATCTTTGAAATAATAATTGGGTAAAATTTAATGTTTATTTTCTGAAAATTTGTTAGCATTCATTAGTTCTTAACTACACCCAAGTAAATTCAATTTTTTTTTTTTACTTTATGCTCTATTTAGACTTTAAAGGCATAGTGCTTTTATTTTGCAGATTGTTGCCTTGCGTGAACAAAATGTTCATATACAAAGAAAAATGGCATCAAGTGAGGGATCCACAGAGTCAGAACATCTTGAAGGGATGGAACCGGGTCAGAAAGTCCATGAAAAGGTATGACACACACAACATGTTCTTCCATGGAAATAGAAATGTTTGCTTGCTATATATCATTTGACAGGAATAGGAAATATAAAACCATGTAATGAACATTCTTTAATATTTGTTGATTTGTTGGTCAAACGTTCCTGATGATTTTCCCTCTCATTTATTGCTCTTAATTTGATTCTCTTACAAATGAGAGTATGTGTTGTGTGTATTTATGCATATAAGCATATTTGAATTTTTCATTATTTGCTCTTAATTGACTCTTAAAAATAATTTAATTTTATATAATTAAATTTGCATATATTATGTATATAAAGCATATAATTTAAAGGATATATAAAGTACATAGAGTGTATATATATATATATATGTATATATATATGTATATATAACGTTTATGTATCCAGGACTATTTTAAGTACACAAACAATACTTTTGAATTACAAGTAATATCATATACAATTGGTAACTAATTTGTTGTTTACCACCACAAAATATTTTTGGTAATCTCATTTTGACTTAGTATTTTTCTTGTGTTCAAGAAGTCCTTAGCAGTACTCTCGTTAATGAGAGATTACAGAAACTATCTGAAGTCATGGGACTTTTACTGTGTTTTAGAAGATAATGATTCTGCTTTTGGGTGGGGTTTAGACTCAGGCAAAAAACAAAAAACACTAGTCTGGCCTCTAGCAAAAGATTTTTTTGTGTGTGCTGAACCACTTCTTTCCAGTACAGGAGGAAGAAGATAAGTTACCAGTAGGCTCAGAATCAGATGAAAATTACATAGGCATTCACACATCCTGCTCTTGAAATTCAGCAGAAGCTCCCGGGTATTTACATATAAGGAGTTATATCTTTGGATGGTAAGCTCCTTAATTGTCAAGACCACATGAATCATGTAGCTAAACTGGTGTAATTGAGGTCAAGAATTTCCAAAACCAGGAGAATAAGACGATGACAAAACAAATAGTCCTAGAATCCTCACCAGAAAATAAACACTTCCTCATGCAGTTGAAACAAATTGAGGGGGTTCAAGTATAAAAGCAAAGGAAACCAAGTGACCAGACTAATATTCAGAGACAAGTTTCGATTCTGGGGGCTGGGAAACAAACAGATCTTCATTTAAGATCACTATTTTAGTTTTGATCCACGTATTTTATAGAAATCCTAGAATAAGTATTAAACACAAACTACATCTTGACAGATTTCATGAGCTGTATCTGAGATTAGAATAAAGTTATTTCTTTCCATCAGCTAAATAAACTGATATCACTTCAGTACACCACCAAGCTCTTTAACAAGACATTTACACTCAGAACTCAGTTTAGAAAACCAAAATGTAATTTTCTATGGCTGTTTTATTTTAATTATGTCATCTGTAGTAGATTGCTGTACCTCTCCTCAGAGAATTATAGAATCACATGGGATTGGGTATGAAAATGGATTGCATGGTTATCTAGTCTTTTTCACAGAAGTCTATAAGGTATTGTTTTCTATGATAATGCTATATTTATGCTAATCCAGTCAGAATTGAAGAAACATGCCTTTCTCAAACACGAAGAGCTTGATATCTTGTCTATCCTCCAAAAAACTGTTTCATACTCAAAACATTCTTCTGGTGGTCGGGAGGGCTGCTCATACATATTTTTTCAAATATTATTTCTTTAAGATATAAACCCCAAATGTCCTAATATCCAGGCATTACATATATAAGACAGCTAGCTCATGCCAGATTATTTTTCAGAAACTGGTTACAGAATTAGGATGAGGGTTTATGCATAATTGATATTTGTCTTCTTTGGACTTCACAGATATAAGTGTACATGTAAAGATTTTGAGTCATTGGTAACCTAAAGTATTTGTCTTTAACTTTCTTTGCCTTCTAAGTCTTGGTAAAGGCATTTCAGCCAGTGTAGAAGAGAAATTCTGTGCCATTGCTAACTTAAGCCTTGTGTGAGTATAAATAAAGATTTCTAAACACTGTGATTATTGGTATCCTTTTTTACAACTTCCTAGAATTACAGGAAAAGTGATTTCCAAATGCTTGAAATAATAATAAATTATAATTATTTAAAATATCATGCCCATCTCATTCAGTGTGAACCTAAAATATACATAAAATATGTCATATATATTTACTTTAAATTTAAAGGTAAGTAAACTGTGTTTCAATTTATATTACTCCTGTGATTGATTTCTCAGGTTAATTCAATAAACTGTTATAAAAGTTTTATTTATACCACATTTCATTACCTGACATATCTTGATAAATATAAAATAATTATCTTGATTTTTATTTTAATTGTAATTTTATGGCTATTCCTAAATTACACACATATAACATTGTAAAACATCTTTTATTTCCAAATTATCCTCTATAAAATTATTATTTGAGATGTATTAATACTATTGAATAATAAATTGTCACAGGACTATAATTTAAAGCCTAACAGTTAATTTTTATTAAGAACTTTAAAAAAGATATTTTCAAAGAAAAGAAAAGAAAATATTTTTGGAAGTGTCTATGTAATAAAGGTGATCAGTTCAGGATAACTATAGTATTAGTGTGTAATTGAAAAGTGGTTGTTCAGGTTAAAAAACATAAAAATATTTCTAGATAACAGAACCATCAGAAAGTGACTTGTAAATAGTAGTTTCAAGGATTACCCTTTGTTTAGAGAAGTTAAGTTACTTATATCACATAGTCAGAGTAGGTTATTAGCCAACACAAGATGTTTTATATCAGTGGTTTGAGAACTCTGTTGACAAAATGGTCTCATAAAAATACATTCTGAAACAGTCTTTATTACTCATGGAAAAGTCCTATAATTATTATCAACATTTTTAAAAGAAAAAAGTTTAACTGAAACAAATTTAAACGTTTCTGTGTGACCTTAAATTTAATTGATTGTTTTAGAAAAACATAAATATTCACAGATATCAAAATTTTTCAGAACACACAATTTTACCTTGTTCAGAACTAGATTCAATAACTTTTCTCCTGCTGCTTCCTAGATGGGAGTTAATTTGTGAATTTTTAAAAGTAAACATGTTGCTCTCATAAAGGAGATAATAATGCTCTTGGCTTGTATAATATATTCTGTACTTCCAATTACTTTTTCCAGCTGCAAATATTTGCTAAGTGATATGGATCAGTAGCATGTTAGTGGTGGAGATTCAGAAGACATGGGCCCTGTAGTAAATTTGGTAAGAATCTATAGTGAGAAATAAACATGCCCAAATTAATATCGCAAAACACAATAAATAGCATAGTGTTCAAAATAATATTAGGGTTTAAAGAAAAGGTAAATTAATTCTCATTGAGGGGTGTCAGAGAGGCAGTATGGAATCGTGATTTGTTTGAAGTTAATAGACATGGATTCAAATCTCATCTCTACCAATTACTAGCTATGTGACCTTACCCTTTAATCCCCTTGGGTCTTAGTTCCACATATGCCATTATTTTAATGACCTTGCTGAGTTCTAACTAAAAGCCATCAACCATATGCATGTCTGCAGGGTATTGACTATATTTTGTCAATTTTTATCAGTGTTCCTCAGTACATGTCAACTCTCAAATACTACCAACAACTGTTCTTTCAAAGATTCAGTCTTGTCAACTGTAGCTCATTCTATGCATTATTGCTTCCCTCTCTCAAAAATAGTTATTATTTGGGTTTATTTACATCCGGATAGCACTAACAGAATATTTTCCTTTATGCATTAATTCTATATGTTGTACTCTAATTCCAAATAAAACATGGTAATGAAATATATGTTTCTTTTTTATCCTCCAATTGAATTTTCAGGCAATAAAACCAAACAGGAAAGTGGGGTTTATGAATTTGTCATCTTGGAAAGAGAAAGTCCAATTATAGCCCCAGATAGATGGACTGGACTGGCCCAGAGGTCAATAATTGGCTAGAAAAAGACTCAGAAAAGGAAAGATCAGGCTGTTCCATTGTTTATTCCAATGGTCATGAAGTTTTCTTATATCAATTTTCTAGAAGCTGAGTTGGAGAGGAAGGCCATGACCAAAAGTCAGGTGTCTCCTATGTGCAAGGGCAAAAGTAAAATATAATCTTCTAATGTTACGAAGAAAATCATTACATTCAAAACAAATCTCTCTGAGTGCAATTACTAGGTTATTGCATGTTGACTATGACCTTATTAGATGGAAAGTTAAAGTGGAATTGACTCCTGTCTTTAATAATAGATTAAATATCATTTATATTAGCCCAGATTTGAGGGATGCAGAGTAAATACATCTTTGCTGAAGTAGGATATTTTCAAAGACTTTAAAAGACTGGTTCAGAAGAGTTTGACAGTAATTTGTGCATTTATCTTTATTCTGTTGGCATAATTTGTGGATGAATTTTGTGCCACAGAATCTTCCCTTTTCTGGGCATATAGAGAAAAAGTTATTTTCCCTCTGTATCGTTTTGTCTGATCTATTAAACCAGTCAGGGAAAATTTTTATGTTTGTCATTCAGAAGTTCCTCAATTATCTTAATTTTATTTTTCACTTTGGTTGAATTTATCTGTCTCAACATTTTTCATGAAACATGAGTTTCCCAAGAATTTAATGTTTCATAGGACCTATTTCCCCTAAAAAGAGAATTCCCAGGACAAGTGAATTAGGAAATATCATTTTATACCATTTTAAACTGGTATAATTACTATAATAGTTCTATTTTAATTTTTTATATCATCCAGTTCTAAGAAATAAACACAGTATGCAGTGTTTCCAGGTGTTTCTAGAGATGCTCCTTATCCACAGGGAAATAGCACCTACCATGATGAGTATTTTTCAGGATATGCCTTAATGTGGAATTAAGGAATGCTGGCTCTCACCCTTTAAAGACAGGCAAATCAGTCTTCAAACTTATCTTGAAACCTCATTAACAAAGGGACTACAAGTCAATAAAGGCAAGGTAAACAACCAGTATAAAGTCCTTTACAGTTTGTGCAAAAGTGCTTTGTGCAAGTTGCTTTATTTATCCCTG